TAACAATCAAGTTAGAGCTTGTCCAAAGTTGTCCTTCCTCACATGTAGCACACAGTAGAAGCTAGCGCATGTCAGCCACATTATTACCGAAATATTCTGTTTTTTTAGCCAAGTACTGGCCAGTACTTGAATGCTGTGGCCACAACATTGCCTACACTACTGTGAAATTGAACACCTGACATACTTTGTTTGAAGAAGTCGACAGGTTAAACCACCTAAAATGGTTCCCATGCACCTTTTTCAGGTTCGGCTTAAAAAAAATCCAGAGCTGCATTGAATATGCACAAACAGCTTTAGTTTAACGTGTGAGGATGCTAATATTTGTTAATTGTCTCTAAACACAAACTACAGCCCTAGAATCATGCTGCTCATATGGCAAAAAACATGTAAGGACTACGTTTGTATGAGTGGGCGTCTCAGTAGTGGGAACAATTTTCTTCCCGTTTACTCAAATACAATTCATTCTTAATAATTTCTTCATCGACTAAACAGAGCAACTTTGTTGGGGAAGAACAATCTTTAGTTTATTCCTTCAGCTGATTGAAATAAAAGCAATTTTACCTACAGTGCACGCATCCGAATAAATGAAGAGGACTTGAATGAGCCCAGGCAAATCTAATTTTGATCCGCATGTGTTCCACCATGAGAGGTGGAAACATGAATAGCAGGAATAGGCAGCCTTTCTGGAACGTGAATAAACACACGAAAACATTTTTGTATTAAACACGCCATCCAGAAGCCACTTAGACTGAGTGCTCCCATAAGTGAGTCCTTCATCAAAAGCCTATATCCGCTTAGGTAGGTACAATTTTCACTTTTTGAATTGGCCCCTTCTGGTGTCATTACTCAATGCACAGAGGCACAAGTCGCTGTTTTCAGGTGCAAACCCTGCCCGTGCGGCAAAACAGTTTTAAACCTGGGGTGAAAATGGATACAGCCTTTTCTTTTAAGTTTTGAAAATTACACATTCAGTTTTTTGTGCCAGGGGCTTAATGGTAATGGAAGTGTAGAAATTTATACGTCACTGCATAAAGTTTAAGTTCAAGGAAAGACAGAGAAGTACTAAAACTGCACATTGTGTACTGTACAATTTGCATTGCTGGTACAGTAAACATATCAAGAATACTTTCACTGAGAAGTGTATTTAGAAAGGCCACAGCATACAGTTGGGTTTCAGATACAACCCCAACAAAGAAAACATTTGTTCAGTCAGAGTGTGATGTCAAAACAAGACAGCATTCTTCCAAATCAACATAAAATAGGATGCGGATGGGATATCTGCCCGCAAAAGCTTCCTACTGTTACAAAATAATATGAAAGATACATCTCCATAAAGCACTGATTTGAAAAACCATCGAGGCAGAGTGACTTCTTTGTAGTTCTGCAGCTCTCTGGAACAGTTTATGTTAACGTGCAGCAGTATATGTGTGTGTGAGTGTGTTATCTTACTGTTGTCAGCAGTGTGTGCTTGGTAACAGCTAAGACCTGATCAAACAGTGCACATGAAAGAGTCAACACCTCTTTTGGCCTTGGAATAACACACATGCAAACAAAGACAAATAAACACCGTACACACCCACACCCACGCATAAGACCAGTGTGATTACGTGTCTGCAGCACGGCTACCAAACTGTCACCGCTGTGGTGTTCATGTCTCTGTATACTTACATGGCCATTTCAAACTGATCCAGCCACTTCTTCTTCAGCTCTCTGGTCTTAAAAAAGAGTTCAAAGCCCGTGTGCCCCTGCTGGTGTGTCACATAGAAACCGTAGCACCACTGTGGGGTTCAAGAAGAAGGAAATAATCAAATTCACCGGTGCGTTTTGTTTTGTTTTTTCTTTCTGATGCATTTTGGGTACAGAAGCATTTATGTGTGGGGCTAAACTAGCTAAATATATACAGGAATAATTACCTCACAGAATCAACACTTTTGTGGTGGGGGACACAGTAGTTTGGTTGGTGAAAATCTTTCTTCACAGCAAGAACAAACTTTTCATCTATGTCATAAATCCCCAATACCGTAACAGGTTGTTGCAATGTAGTTATCCGTTTAACTGTAAACAGTGCATCGTGCTCTGTAATTGGAATGGATGCATTGTCTGAAATACCAGAGAATGACTACTGAGCTACTGGCTGTTAAAACAGCTGAATAAAAACATTTAGGGAAAATAAAATACACCCAAGTAAACTCTGAGTAACTCCATCTGATGCTGTTGTTTTACTGGTTATCATATATTCCAGTTTGTGAGTTTGTATTTAAGTTAGGAATGCAGACGCCCACACGGTCTTTTGTCAAGCTGAAAATATTGTTACACATTCGATAATAATAAAATAGTGCTGCATTTTGGGAAAACATGTTTATAGGCCTTTTTTTCTTTTTTATGAAAAAAAACAGGACACTTTTTACATTATTAAATATGAAACTCAAGTCGAGAGACAGTCACCTTAGCTTCAGTTAGTCTACACTCATTTTTTAATTTAGACTATAATTAAATTCAATTTACTTATATGCCATCTGCTGCAACTATAGCTCTGACTATACATTCATACAGTAGTTTAGAAACCAACGCAGGCACAGTGACACCGTCTGCACATTGACAGACCTCGGCGGTCCAAACCTGCCCAATAAAGTCCTTGGGGCCCCTCTAGTGAGACCAGTGACACTTGAGTTGAAAGTTACACAAACCCATACAAATTGGCAATGAAAAACTAAAGACTCATATTGCTGATAAGCTGCAGTGCGAGCTCAATCGATTCAGCTCCCAGTAGTTGCTTCTGAGTGAGGACGATGTGCAGGTCAGACTTTGAGAACTACCCCTTATCTCGCTTTAAAACTTAAAAGATGTCATTCATCAGCTTATGAAGCTGTTTCACTCAAAAACTACAAATACATTGGAAATGTGTTGAGGATACTGTGTGCTCACAGTCGTTGGTGATTTCCCTGATCCATTTCTGCACCTACAGAAAATGTCTCTCTTTTCTTTTTTCTATTTTGCCTCTGCAATCAAAGACAACTATGTTTGCACTGTTATAGCTATAGCTACATTTATCTATGATTGTACTGTGTGTATGGTTATGTGTGTGCCAGTGCAAGTACAAGTGCAATTTTTTTGTTTTCATGAAAAAGCAAAAGTCACTTGAGCCAAATGCCTCCCGTCAAAGTTGCCTGTCCAGGTCATGTGGTCTGTTGCCAAGCTTGCACATGCAAGGAAACCTCCTGCTGTGAAGTGACAGTGCTAACCACTGCAACCAGGAGTGCTACAGACACAGTGCTTCTAGTGTATGTGATAAGTCAATCGGGATTAGCTTCATATCTACCGTACAGACATAAGAGTGGTGCCTGTACTGCAGTATAGGGGAAATAAACCCATTCACCAAAATGCCAAATTCTTCCTTTATTGCATAATTATGCAGATTACTTTTAAATCATTCTTATCTAAAATGTTTTATTATCCCATCAGACACGAGCCATGTCTAAAGAAAATAAGCACATTAAGAAATGGGTGCTATTTCCTCATCACCAGCATTTATGCCTTGTATCTGACCAAGACAACTAAGGGCTTACTGAATCATGGTAATCTCAAAATATCTAAAATACAGTCTGGGTTTAATTTTATTTAGCATCATTTTGAACCACCTTGTAATTTGTAATCTTGCCAATCACACATTTCTTTTAGTTCAAACAATGACATGACAAGACAGACAAAAAGAGGAAGACCACAGAGAAAGGTTTAGAGAAGCAGTGACAAGAGGACAAGCAGATTGTTGGTGTGACAGAAGAGAAGAAGATGATGAAGGTGGAGAAGAAAAAGACAAAGAATGACAAGGCAAAAAGAAACGCAGACACCACCCTTCTAACATGAAGCCATAACGCTTTTATCAGTCTCCACTGACGTCTTTGTGCCAAGATGGCTGCCATCAGCATCACAGATCAGTGCATCAAGAGAGCAGCAGCAATAATATTTTAACACGCGCTTTGCACAGAGAGTACTGAATGACTTAAGCTGTGTTAACATTGAGACGGAGCGTTCTAATCTACCTTAGAGAAACCAGAAAGCTTCGGAAAGTCCTAAATTTCAGAACATAACTTCTAGGCCAGAAACCAGCCATCTCTACCAGATCTTGACCACGTCTTCTGAATTTTAAACTGACAACTGTTTGCTTGTTGTCTTCAGAAGCATATTCAATTAACCAGCTATCCTCAAATGCATTTTTTTTTTCAACCACTAGCTACTAAATAGCTCCACAGCAGCACTTTCAGTTTAAGTGCCTTGCCCATGGGTCCATTAAGGGACTTTTTAAATCATTTCCCAAACCTCTTGGCTTTTTCAAGTCTAATCTGCTTCAGCTGATTGTGTCATATTTAATAACAGGAAAAGTGGTTGGGCTTTACCTGTCTGTGACAGGCCGGCTCTGAGAAGTCCTGAGAGTTTCTGAGTGTTAAATCATTGATAACCGTGAGGGTGCTCGGTGGTCACAGTGCTCAATGAAATCTACCAAAAAATGGGCTGTAACTTTAAATGGCCTCGGAGGATTGCGCACATCCTTCACCTGATATTAATATCGCTGTCTTGTGTGTTCATGGGGGTAGGTACAGAGTATCTCTTTCTCTGAATATTAGTTTTGTGGGTGCAAGTCTTGCGACAAAGAAATTCTTACGCATGTGTCTGTGTCATTTTGTGCAGCATTAAATAAAGGTCGTATGTGATTGATGGAGCTTTGGGTTGAAAGCAGGATAAAAATGAAGGGTAGAAATGTATCCGACCGTGTTCAGAATCATTAAGGGGTTTATGTCACTGCATGTTTCAGACGAGATTTTTAATTCAGAAATATTGAATAATCCTATCTAAAATATACCAATCACTGTCAAACAGAAAATAGACAATAGAGTAAATGTGGATGATAATAGAGTCTCTTTGAGAAAAACCACAGAGCCATTTCATTCTGGCAAGCTGTCACTTTCACATTAGCAATCAGCAGCAGAGTGAGAAGACACCATCTGTGGGCATACATCAACAAGACATCAACAAGTCCACTCCACTACAATACGGCCTGCAAATGTTCCCACAAGCCGAAAGATAGCATAGTGTGTAAACTGTATGCACCTTACGGGCTTCTACATCCGTGTTTGCCAAAAAACAAATAAACGCTACGGCCAAACTGTATGACAACAGTCCTTAGTGTATTCACAGATAAAGATCCATTTCACAATAAAAGATGACGTAGAAAAAGACTAATATAGTACACCGTGTCTGACCTTTTTACCCTCTCTGTCAGGCGTGGGGTTGTTTGTGATCTTGAAGTAGTTGAGGTCGAGTATGTCTTTCATCTCATAGTTGTCTCCTCTTCGCTTGCAAACAATGACTGCCACATCAAATAAAAAGATGTGCCTATGAAATAAGAAGACAGAGTGTTACATTGCTTCCTTATTAACATGAGTATATATGTCACGTACAGTTGTTTCAAAGTAGGTTTGTTTTTATTGTTGTTACTTTCTTGCCTTAGAGGTTAAGAAAGCTGACACCAGTATTTGGCTTAACTCTGAAGGTAAATATATTAGATACCAAAGTTTTAGTCTGACGTTTTCTTGGATGCCTGAAAGTGTTTGTATCCCACAACTTTTGTAAGTCGTTGCCAACAAAACAAGAACCCTATGACCCCAAGTCAGTAAACTCAATATTGCTGATTCTTTCTTTCTTTTTTATTTACAAAAATGAAACCAACTTATTTTCACTCCAAATTCCACATTTTTCCGAAAATTTTAAAATCATTACATTAAAATGAATTTAACATGTATTTGTTTCCTGTCTGCAATCCTAATTTTCCTTCCCAAACAATGAACTTGGAGGTACAACAACCTGTCCTGTTTCTTCTTGTCCACACTGGAGACTATGCGCACCTCTCCATCTCCCTTTGGCCGGCCGTAGGTGACCAGCGGCGTATTCTGCAAACAAAACACGAAGGAGGTAAAAACGCTAGACTGTACACTTTGGAGATCAAGCAACTCTTAAAATGTCAAGGCTCATCTTTCTCAAGGCTTGAAAAACATACAAGGATCATATGTGATTAAGTCAACATTTTGATGCAGAACTGGGACCTACCAACTGGAATCCAAGCGAAAGTTGAATTTAAAGAGTTAAAAAGAAGAGAAAAATAAATGAAGATAGTTTGAGAAAGCAAAAGGTTTTACATCACACCTAACAGCTACTTCAGGAATGCAATATATATTTATAAAAGTACCTAAAAGTATACTAATATGAATCAAATCCCCATAAAATATTAACTTCTGCAAATAAATGTTCACATAATATTCACAATAAGACATCAGGTAAGTTTTTGGACATTCAACTGATTAGTATCAGTTGATTCCTGCCACCTGATTCACTGATTAAAGTTCATTCATGTGCAATCAGGTCAAGACAAGAATGAGGGTCTTTGTAATCTGACAAGCTCTCTTGTCTCTGCTGCTGGGTTTCACGACTCTCTGTAACCTCCCTGTTTTTTCTTTGACCAGCTTCTCTCAGCTACTGAAACCTTCAGAAATGTAAAAACATCATTTACATTTTAATGTCAGCGGTAATGCTGAACAATAATACAAATATCTTTCAGTGGATGCAGCTAAATTGCATTAATTATCCATAATTATGCAGATTACTTTTAAATCATTCTTATCTAAAATGTTTTATTATCCCATCAGACACTTATTATGATTCTGTTTTTAATCACAGTAGAAACATCTACAAAAAAAAAGAAAAATTCTTCACATCTTCACACCTAAGAAGAATGACTGAAATATTTAGTAAGCTATTACCCAATACATTTTCTGTGGATAGTCATCACTGCAGCTCTAAATGGTATTATCTTTCTCTAAATCTCTGATATGGTTTTAGGCGGGATTTTTAAGACCTCAAAGATACATAAAATACACTTTTTACCTCTATTATTAGCCGTTAAGTACATATTATAGTGGCATCTTTTATCATTGTGCATGTTTGAGCTGAATTCTGTTTCGTGGTGGATTCCCTTAGACTACATTAAATTTAGACAAAGACTGGACTTTTTAAGCACTTGCGAAAACTGAATGTCTTCTAAAAGAAAAAACGTGCTGCAGTGATATTTTACACTCTTACGTGGTCAATCCTAACAGCTGCTGCTAATTGTTGAAAAAAATCTTTATTTTACCAGGTTTTCAATAGACCTCTGGTACTGGTCGATCTCCCTTAGAGTCTCATTATCTCTCTTCACCTCGTTGACGTACTGAGCCAGGTCCTGACAATACAGACCCACACAGACACAAAAACACACATATTATGTTTTGTAAGTTCAGTCTGAAGGAATTTAAACATGTAAAACAAATCGTGTTGTAAAGATAGTATGATGTCTTTTGTGCTACATTTTGGGGAAATCGCCCATTTAAAATATGTGCATGTTTCAGTGCTGAGAATTAGATGGGGGGACAAAGTGAATGACAATATTCTCCATACCTTTACTTTAAATGGATAAATGCGTGTTTGTATTGTAGTTTCTTTTTCTTGTTTGTTTCTTCAGTCAGAAAAGCCATCATGTCACGTGTGTGTGTGTGTTTGAGTTTGCTTCCTATTTTTATTTAATAGGTATTGATAGCTGAATGGCACAGACCGTTTGGAATAATCTGCTGAATCAGCCTGCTTTTGCTAACAGTCTAAAATCACTATGATTACGTACCATTTACCATAAGCACTGCACTTACTTTCATGGCATCAAGAGCGATCTTCAGGTTGCTCTTGTCAGCAGCATCCTGAGTGTGTTTGACTAGCTCCTGTTAGAGAGGAAAAGAAAATAAGTGGCAGACTACATCCACTAACAGAACTACAATTGCATAGGCAAGCACATTTAGCATCACTACATGGATTGATTTTATATTAAGGATCACTTTTAAATTGTATGAAAGACAAGATCCATCCTATACCAAATGGGTCCCTTCATATTCAGAGGACAGCTGTTAAAACACCAGGATAGCATCAGGTAATTAGATAATTATACTCTGAAATCAAAATTAAATGAATGAAGAAAGAAAGGGAGGGTTTTTTTCTTCTGCTTTGTTTAATTTTCAAAGTATATGAAAAAAAAAAGCTTCTCGGCAAAGGCTGGTGATGGGATTTATCAAAGTATAAATATAATTTGAAGCAGATGAAGTAGTTTAATTCTCCTCCATGATCTTTCAGAATGAACAGTTAGAAATACAATACTGTGCAAATGTCTTGAGTCGTTCCTCATTACTTTATGTTTTACATGGAAAGTGGGATGGTGCAGTGATTCGCTGAAATGTGTAAATATTCATGGAAAGCATACAAAGCAAAACAGTTCTAATGAACATGAAATTTTATATTTGGTAAGATCAACTTTATTTTTCAACACAGCCTAAAATCTTGTATGCAAGCTTCGGCTGCTGCTGCCTTTTGTTCCATTGTATATGAAGTTGAGTCCACACTGCTTCACTAATGTTGAGGTTTGGACTCTGAGGAAGCCTATAACTGATAATGTTTGTATGTTTTCGAATCCAGGTATGCTTTTACTGCACTGGTAGTGTGTTTGGGATCATTTTTATGCTGTTGCCGTTGCCAATCAGATGCTTTTCAAATGGTATTGCATAGGAGAGCAAGTTCTGACAGTACTTTTCTCTGTTATATATGTATACTTTCATCAGTTTGACAAGACCCCAACACCATCCATCGTCTTTGCTTATCCCGTTCAGGGTCTTGACAGAGCCTCCACCATGTTTTAAAGATGGCTGTAAACACTCACTGTTGCTGTCCCAGCGTCCTCCTTACTGGAGATTTGAACCAAAAATTTCAATTTTGGATTCATGACTCAATAAGACCTGCTGCCACTTATTGTCAGTCCAGTTTCAGTATGGCGCATAATTGATCTCAGTTTTTTTGTGCGGTTTCACATCCTCAAAAATCCTTCCGTGACAGCCACGCTTCCACCGAGACCATTTTTGACGAGGCTTCAGTGAGCAGCAGATGGATGAACTGAAGAGTCAGCGGCATCTCTCAGGTGTCGTGTCAGGTCTTTGTTGACTGTCAGATACTTTTCAACCACTAAAAATACTTTTTATGCCCAAACTTTGGCATTTTGGGGAAATTCAACAAGAGAAACGGGAAGAAATTATGGGTCTAAGGCGTTTGGAAAGAAAAGCGTCTGGACTTCCAAGAAGCTTCTTCAGTTCTAAGGTCAAATTTTGGAGAGTCCCAGATTTAAGCCCTGTGGGAGTGTTCCCCCAAGAGGGACAATGGACCCCCTAGTGATCCTCTAACCTAATCACACGAACCAAGGTGTGAAAACGGGTGTAGGTCACAATCAGCCAAGGTTTCGGGTGAACTCATTGTGAAACCTAGCCCCACGCTATCATGTGATTTCCTGAGGTCAGAAGGCCCAGGATGTGAGTGGGTGTTAAGGTGTCTGGGATCCTACGCAGACAAGAAATCGCGTGCTTCTGCAACAAGCTGCAAGTAACAAAGTGCCTAAATACACTGTTTAAAATAGGTTCTTTGCTAAGTTGCCTGTTATGTGTAGACACAAAATTGACTCATCTCATGAGTTCGCCAAGAAAAATAAATACATACATTTTTAAAATGGTCGGGTACAAGGACTGAATGGAAAATGAGTGAAAAAGCAGCCAATGTCCGAAGATAAATGAGGAAGGAAAATATAAAGACTTGAGGAGTGACTTTTGCACACTATATAAATATCAGTAATGTAAAGGTAAAGATAATTAATTCCATAATATATTCATAAAATCCATTATATAGGTAAATTTGACAGTGTACATCCATCCATCCATTCGCTTCCACTTATCCTTTTTCAGGGTCGCGGGGGTGGGGGGGAGCCTATCCCAGCTGTCTTAGGGCGAGAGGCAGGTACACCCTGGACGGGTCACAAGTCTGTCACAGGTCGCAAGTCTAGCACATAGACACAGACAACTCTTCGCACTCACTCATAAAACAGTTTTAAATTTTAAAGTTCTTCTGTTCTTCAAGCTTGAAGTATAAAGATGAATACACACATGGATTTTCTCTTCCTAGATGCAATAAACAAAACTCATATGAATACACTGCACTGCTGACATTCAAATACTATTGAATGTCAGCAGTTAAAGTGCAGGAAGAAAAAGGGATGTCTCACACACACACACACACACACACAGAAACATCTATTTCTTTAATCACATGGAAGTTACTGTTGTGAGCGCAACCTGCACAGGGGAATCAATCTGTTGATGAAACCTGTCCACAATCTCCCATGGAAGACACTGGGTTCATTACCATCAAAACAACTGTTAAGCAATAAAGAAAACATGAAACAATTCTAGACCACAGTGAATTGTTTCCACAGCAAATATGACTACGTACCTGAACAGAAAACGTGTTTGCTAGCATTGTGCTTCATTTTCTGCTGACATTTTATTTTTAATTCTGGACAGATGTTGCTAGTTATAAATACATGCCGCCGATACTCTGTTTGCTGTGTGTGTTCGATGTTCGTGGCAGAAAAACTGCGTTAGCAAGATTTAATCATTATTACAGCATTATGTATATTATGTGCTTAATATTAAAAGTGGTAGAATGACTTTCGGTGTGACTAGCTCTGTGGTAACGTTACACAATAAGAGATTAACTATTGTTCAAACTGGTGTGTCTGTGCCGTGTATGGCACAATGCTCTTTCCTAACTGTGCTGTAACCTCTTTCACTTAATTTCCACCTCGCCACTTCTTTTCCCCTTTCATTCTTTTTTGTCCCTCCATCACACAGTTTCTCCTCAGGGGTGTCTGAGAACTCCCAGGATCAACACCATTCACCATGGAGGGCTTTACCTTCCACAACAATTTTTTTTAAAAGCTCTCTAGGCAAAGCCCTCATCTATCCTGCCAGCTGTAGTCTGACCTCTGATTCATACTGAGCTGGGGAGGTGGTGTCATACAGTAAATCAGTATGCAGTGAAATCTGTGGGAATCTAACAAGCTTGAAGTCTGGAATCCAGTATGTGAATGAATACTTTATGTACAACTGCCCTGCAAAATGTGTAACAAATCTACATAAATTCTGAGAATGATTTAAAACAATCTTGGTTCGGTTAATTTTGGAGGAAAAAGGAGAATATATCAAAATGCACTAACATAATGAACTAAATAATAACCTAGACTTTTTTTTTTCTTGGATATCAAAGGGAGAGAACAATGAATCAAATTTGTGGAGGATGTCGCCCTCAAGTGGTCACTGACATGCTACAAGGTAGTTGGAGCAACTAAAATAAAGTTGACAAAAGCCCTTTTCACTCTGAAGTGATTAAAATTTGCACCAAATGTAAAAAATATTTTTAGTATTAATTAAACATCAAACTTTTTATGGATTTTTCTAGGGTATACATAGAAAAACCAAACAACATCTGGAAATTCTGGATGTTCGTTCCTCCCATAGCAACAAGTAACAGTGCAAGCACCCCAGCAAGAAGCTGGGTTGCAACTGAAAATTATTTTTATGACCAGTTGATGAATGCTTTAGTATTTAAAATATCTGCAAATGATGATAAAATTCTTTCAATAGCAGTATGTGTTCTGGTGTTTTTTTTT